GGTATGAATATGTGGGACAAAAACATTTATTCCAAATATATACATTTACATATATATAAATATACATATACATGTAGGGTTCAGTACTACCCTAGGTTTCAGGAATTCACTTGGGTCTTTAAACCTATGCCCCACAGATAAGGGGGGATTACTGTATTTAACTGCCAGAAACTCCAAAATTCCACATCTTTGGTGGATTTCTCAGAGGTTCTCTGCATTCCAGACCAGCACCATCAAATGAAACTTTCTGAGAAACAGAAATGCATCATCCAATATGACAGCTCTTAGCAATATGTGGCTAATGAACACTCAAAATGTGGATCATAGGAGAAACCAAATGTTTTCTTTTTATTTTTAATAATYTATTTATTAAATAATTACCTATGRCTGGAGGCTTCCATAGTGAACAGTGAGCTCCAGACCACTGAGGTTCCTGAAGCAATTTGGAGACCCAGTGCACCAAGCACACTGAGCTTGGGAGACAGATGGACTGATTCATATGCTTTCTAGTTCAATCCTCTTGGCCATGACTTAACCTCCTACACCTCTGTCTTCATGAAGTTAAAAAGGACYACTACCTCCTACTTAAGAGAATGACTCTAGAAGGAAGAAAGACAAACTGGCACATATGAAGCCCCTAGCACAGTGCTTAGCACATGGGAGAGACTATAAGCCTACATGACACACTTTCCCTATTCCTTCCCAAGTTCATCCACATCTGACACTTAGGTTTTGGCCTTTTCAGACACTTTTCCCAAAAGGATGCTGTTCCTTGCTGACGAAATAAACTTCAGTTCTAAGAAAGGAGGATCTTTAGCACCTATCCAACTAGACCCCAAAACAGAGGGGTGGACCAATAGGAAACATGAACAATCTCACTCCTCCCTGACATTCTGTGATTGTGACTGTAAACTATCAACAGGAAAGTAAAGTTGCTGAACCTTCACTTCTAGAAGCCATGGCCATCTCCTTGTGAGGCAGACAAAAGCAGAGGGAGAATTCCTTAAGAAATTCCTCCAAGCTGTAAATGTTATAGGTGACCCAGGAGGGTCTTGAGTCTGTTTTTATAGGCACAGCACTCCTTGCTCATGCCAGATCCCAATGTGAACCCCAGCCCCCCCCCCCCAGGTTACCTGAGGCCGCTGTTGTGGGTGTACTGGCTGCTGGTGGCTGAGAAGAGCTGCTGCTCTCATTCATGAGACATTGGTTGCCACCGTTGTTCTCTCTCTTGACAAGCAGCTCAGCTGCACTGGGCAGCGGGATGGGGTGGCTGATACCCAGTTCCTCCTCCTGCGCCTGCTGCCTTCTCAGAGCCACCTGGAAGCACAGGACAGTGAATCATTCTCCAGCACTCTAGAATCACCAGTTCCAATGATAGGCTCTGAACATAAAGAGGTTTCTCATTTCTCTTACCTGGCTGTCCAGGTAACTAGGATGTACAGCCAAAGTTAAAAAATGATATAAAGTCAGGGTATCTGGCCCATTGTAGATATCCCCAAAACACATGAGTGTGCAAACTATCAGGAAACAAGGATCAGGAAAAACTCATCCAAAGAGGGGAGTTCAGTCTCAAGAGYAGAAAACACACTGATGGATTAGGATGCACTGGACTCCTTCACCCCACAAATATGTAAAAGACCACTGTACTGGAAACAGTGACCAGTAAGCTTACATTAGATCACAGATTCCTCCCCATKTAAAAGGAGAAACAAGAAGCAAGTAAGCATCCACTACAAAATAGGACGAGAAGCAAACACCAATCTACAGCAAAAATGTAAGAATCAGCCTGCGTTGAAAYGCAGCAGAGACCTGAACCATGGAATGAGTAGCACTCACACAGGGAAGGAAAAAGGGGTAAGAATAATATGGAACAGAGCAGCTAGGAAATGAAACCCCACAAAACCCTTTTCCCCAGGGGTGAGGGAGCATGTGGAGAAGCAAGGAAGAGCAAGGAGGCTGGAATCTGGTGTTRAAAGTCCCTGGAAGAAGAAGAGGTGGGAGGTGAGGAGCAAGGGAGAGGACAGGTTTGGGGGCGGGAGTGTCTAGGCAGGGAAAGAGAGACAGAATTGAGACAGGTAAGAATCTGACATGCTTAGGAAACACTTCAAGGGGCTTCTTGTGTTTATAATCTTTTTAATAACATTGTTAAAAATTGGGGGGAGGCTTAAAACAAGTTGTATTTTTGTTTACTACCTGTAACAAAGAGACTTTCTATTGAACTTGACTCTTGGTGGTCATGAAAGGAGAAAAATGAAGCACCCTACACTTTAAAGGCTCAAAGACAAGAGAAAAGGTAAAATCAAAATGGTAAATCAGAAATCCAGCTACAATCTATGTATTGGCTTAGGAAAACTATATAGTCCAAAGTTAGCTGATTCATGTGGAAGTAAATTTCACTCATAATCAAAAGAGTCATCACCTTAGAAAACTAAACCTTRGATAATTATTTAAGCATATAKCTTGGATTTTCTGCTRTTAACCAAGGGCTTGGAAACAGCATTATCAATGACTGCCCAGAAGTAAGTTTTTTAAAACCCTGCAAACCTCTAAAATATTAATACATACTTGTACCTTGATTTACACAAACCTCATGCACACCCAAAAGGCACAGCTTATCTAGTCCACAAACTAAGGATGCCCTTACAAAGATCTTCTCCAAGGTTTGTTAGTGAACATTATTTACACGGGAAAGGGGCTGGCAATGGATTGCAAATGCAGTTGTTTTATTCATCTAATATCAATTTCAAACTATTTTAGAATAACTAGAAAGTAATTGCTATATAGATTTTTAAGGGCTCATCTAGCCTAACACAAATCCTCTGGTACAAAAAATCCTGAAGTTTCATATTCTAAAAGTAATCTTGGGTCGTTTTTGTTGTTAATTCAGCTGTCTCCTCAAAATTAGTCCCTCTAGGAAGGGTTTTCAAAATTAATGCCCCTACTCGTATATCTTTATTACATTTTGAGAAAAATTCCCTGAGTATTGCTCCACGTTAAATATTTAAGCCAATGATCAAAAGTCCGGATTACTTTCTTGCCTATATATTTAAATGTTTTAAATCTCATTGTGATGCACCTTATTGTTACATCCAGCATAAYAATTCACTACAGATTAAGTTCTATGAAAAAACTACCTATATTTTCAGTWACTGCCCTTATAATATCTGAAGACAAAACACTTGTAATTGTAAATGTTTTAATTTCTCTGTGCTTGAAACTCTGATGCACGTAGAAAGCACACGATCTTTAAGCATTTGTGCAGTTATGTTCAACTTAAGATCGGTTTTTTAAAAAGGGCTATTTTACACGTTTCTAATCAAAAGCAGCACACCACTGGAAAACACTTCTTTGGTATCATTTCATTTTAAATAATCTATCTTTAAAAGATGAAACAACTTYTAGCTGGAAAGAATGTATTATTACCTTTTAAAAACCTTTTAGGAAACCAAAGACGTGAACTTTCGTTAACATGCTAAATGACCAGGGTACTGTTGAAGCCATTAAAAATTAAAAATAAAAATTWACGACCAGCTTCAAACCCAGGCAGTTTTTTTTTTTAAATTCTTAAATGTAGTCAAAACATTTACATAACTTGGGGCCAGACAGCGAATTTTAAAATACTAGCATTTCCACGGTGCTCAAAATGGCTGAGGTGATCGGCCCGGAGCCGCCGCGGGCGAGGACGCCAAGTGCACCAAGAGCCGGAGACCACGCCGCTGCGGCGTCCATCCCGGGGACTTTTCCAGAAAAACAAACGTGGCGTCGCGTTCCGCAGCTACCCAAGGGTCTCCCCTGGCCCCTACAAAGCATCCCTCGCGGCGCTCCAAAGGACCCTACTTAATTTAAGCCCAGCTCAGCGGGGAGTAGTCCCTGGGACCCTCGAGGGGAGCGARCCCCGCAACTCTGTGCTCGGTGGAGATCGCGGGGACTGCCCAGCCAAGCGAACCCCTCGGGGATCGGCTCTGAGAGCGAGGCTGGAGATCCCAGCCGCCCCCACATTGCGGAGCGAACCCCGCAACTGAGCTGAAGCGCGGCCCAGAGATCGTGGAGAATCCCTAGCGGAACAAACTCAACTCTGCTTGGAGGGCAGGGATGGAGATTTGGGGGCCCCGCCGCTGCAGCGAGCCCCGCAACTCTGGTGCAGGATTGGGGCGATCTTTCCAGCAGGGTGAACCCCGCATCTCCCCAGGCTGGGACCGGGACTCGTTCCCGCCTACCCAGAGTGGCTTCGGCCCTGGCTGGGAGTCCCGCGTCCCCGGCGCGCCGCGAACGTCGGCTCTACTAGCCGGATCATTCCCGATCCCGGGCCCCTCTTAACTCTGGCCTCGTCGAAGGACTTTATCCCTGAAGCTCAGAATTGAACCCCCCTTTCCGGACGCCCGCACCCACCTGCGCGGCCATCACGCGCTGTCTCTCGGCGATCAGATTGCACTTTTTGCACTGGCAATCCCGCCACATGCAGAAGCGTTTGTGGCCCTTGAGCGGCGAAGCGTAGCCGTGGTTCCTGCACCGAGCGCACTTGGGCAGCCTCGGGGACTTCTTGCTCGAGGCGCCCAGGCCCGACGCCCCAGAGCCGGAGCCGCTACCGCTGCCCCCGGCGCCTGATCCTCCACCAGCGCCCATCAGCGCCCCAGAAGCTTTCCCGAAGCCCCCGGACTTGCCCTGAGGCGGTGCTCCGGGGGCGTGCGGGGTCTCGGACGGTGCCGAGGGCTTGTTGAACGCGTCGTCGTTGGGCATGTTGCCCCAAGGAGCGGCAAAAGGACTCACACCGCCTCTCACGCCCGAAGACGGCTGCAAGGAAGCACCCAACCGACGGCTAGGCTCTAGAGGAGGAGGTGCAGGAGGCGTGTATGCAGCAGCCGGAGGTGCAGCCCGAGTGGCGAGGTCGGGACACGCAGCGCCGGGAGTGGTGGGGGGTTGTGCCCTTTTTTTTTTTTTTTTTGGCGCGCGGTGTAGAACTTTTGGATACTTTTCAGAATGTTCCCGGGATTGCAGAGGCGGGAGAGGGCGCGAGGGAGCTCAGCCACGCCCATTGTCCCCCAACTCCAGCCACTGTGCTCCGACTGAGTGCAAGCTTGCACACCAGCTACACGCAACCACGGCGCTGCTGCAGGGATGCTGCAATMGCACTGAGGTGCAGAGCATGACCTCATAGCTCTCTGGGGTACCGGGGGCCAGGCTGCCAGACAGAGCTCGCTGCACCGAGGAAGCTAGCCTCCCAGGTCAGGAGAGGAGTCCAGCGTGCTGCTTGGAGGAGGTGCWGAAACCTGTCGGTCGTCTAGCTCCCTTCCCCCCTTTTCCCCTCCCCCCAGTGAGAAGCATTCTTCAGGTTCAATAYGGGAGACCTTGGCAGCAGCAAACTCAGAAATTGGTTTATTTCTACTTGATAATAAGGTTGAAAATCTGAGAGAAGAGATCTCTACATCTGTGTCAGCAGATAAGACCCTCACTTGGGGTTGAAGTGCGCCCAAAATATTAAAAGTTGGAGCTCTTCTCCATTTATCCCCTGTTTTCATCTGTTCCCAAGATTTCTACCTCCTGGCCCCAGATAACTTTTCCAGTCTACATAGTTCCAGCCCTAGTTTCTTCTCACTTCTTACATTTGAGGCAGCTTCATTTGGACTCTGAACGGGGGTGGGAGGGTTACACACATGTAGACGTTTATCAAAACTCATTCTACATTTAAGATCTGTGCATTTTATGTGTTTAAGTGTACATTTTWWAAAACTCCGTGATCTTACCTTTCCCGAGTTCCCACCGTGAACTCCCCATCCCCTATCTCCTGCCACATTTGTCTCCTCTGCACTTGCACAGCTAATCCATCCCTGGGCCTGCTGATCAGTTCTTCCCATACATCCATGTGACCAGTCCTTCATCTAGAGTCTCAATCTGCTGTAGTTTCCAACAGATCTCTCCATTTCTCTTTCTTCTGAGGTATTCTAAGTACCCAGCCCCAGGGCTCCTCCAGTGCCTAGCTATTGTTTTCCACCTGAAAAACAATTGAAGACCTTAGGCTAGTCTTAAAGCACTTTGACTCATCTGGATCTGCATTTCTTAGCTTCCTATTCTACYGGCTTGGAACAGCTCTTTGTTGACCTGGTACAGCCTCTTTGTTCATCACCACTTTTCTAACCTTGTATTGGCAATTGTACTTGGGGCTAACTTACACYCCTCTCCCACTTTCCTTGCTTTTCACCAGTTACTACTTGCCTTGAATATGCTGGGCCACAGCCTCAGGGGAGTAGTTCTCAAAAGGAGCATAGCCACCTCCCTTGGCTTCTCARTTGAAAGGGTTGTTCAGTGGCCATTTCGTCCACAGTTGGGTGTCTTCAGCAACGGACATCTGAAGTCCCTTCACTTGCCTTTCTCCCATTCTAATTCTGAGGCCTCCTACACAATCCTCAGAGTGCATTTTCTCCATTAGTGTTAGCTCTCTGAAAATTATTTCCTTCCAGCTTTACACAATGCCACGAACCCTGACCATGAAGTCAGTGAAGCTCTACTCCTGACAGGGATCAAGATACAACCATACACCCATGTTGGAACCTCTTAGATGATAACCAACGTTTTATTCAGGGACATCCTTCTCCCTTAAAGTCTTCTATTAAAACACATAAGCCAATTGCCATTATCCATTATKTTTTTTTAATCTATACTTTAGTACCTGAGCTGAAGTTGAATCTTTCCCAAGGCCCAGTCTAGCTTTAGACAATAAAGTAGATGCAGGAAGCAACAGCTGTCACATCCCAGATSATGAGGAAAAATATGTTTCTTATAAACAGAATCTGTGATGGAAGGATTTAAACCTATAGAAATTGTGGTGCTAAGAACATATGACCAAGGTATTAAAACATAAAATGAAGTAATGAAATTAATAGCCAAGTGAAGTTTTTATTTACAAGGCACAGAGGAGGCACCAGACAGGAGATGATCCATAAAGGAAGTAGGAAGACCCCCCAAAATAAATAGATTCCTACTGGACATTTTTACTAGCCTCACCCTGTTATCTCCTTTTTCCTCTTTCCAGAGACCAAAGTCCAAATATGATCATGCAGATCTGTACTCCATGACTTAGAAATATGCCCAAGACATACTGATTAGTGGGGGAAGAAACCAGTTTTAAAATATGTCTTAAATAAAAATTCTTAGATATGAGACCAAAAGCACAATACAAAAAAAATGAACTTCAACAAAATTTAAAACATGCTTCAAAAGCCACAATTTAAAAAGTGAAAAGCCACAGTCTGTGAGAAAATATTTAGAAGTTATATATGAYAAAGAACTGTACCCAGAATATATTTTTTAAACTATTTTAATTCAATAATTTACAATCAGGAGCTGGGGATATAGTTGAGTGATGAGTATCTACTCAGCATGGACAAAGCCCTAGGTTGGATCTCCAACACCACACACAACCAAAAATAACCAAAAATGTGCCTATTTCACCAAAGAAAAGGTTTGAATGGCCAATAAACAATTAGAAAGATGTTCAATACCATT